TGTTGTCTGCTCAGTATTCCATTGTGGCTGTAATATTAAATATCAAGGCCCATGTTTGTGGGCAGCCTTATTTATCGTTCTCATTTCAACAGATGGTCGCTATAAATCTTATTTTGGTCCAATTAAGTAGTTTTGTGATCAATTGTTGTTGGCCAATTCGGGGAAAGATTTTTCTTCTTGTTGAATAAGTAGTTTAATAAAGATCATAAATCTACATCAATTTGTCAATCCCACACAAAAGAGATTATTTATAAAATAGGAAACTTTGTGGCTTCCCAGATGGTAATTAATTTTCATTACTTAAGGACATCTGAAATACCAGACAGCCTGTAAAATAGGACTTAACCGGCATGCCTTTGAAAATTCCTTTTTGAGTATGAAAATAATTATTGATTTATTAAATTCAAGACTATCAGACTTTGTAATCAGATTACGATTAAATTAGGGTAACAACGTAGCCCATAAAATCAATTTGTATCTGAAATTCATATTTTGGCTGTAACCTGCTTTGTACTTCTTAAATAAATAAATCAAAACTTGCCAACATTTGGATATTAATCAAAGGCTGAGTTGTACCAACTAACTTTGACTATAACTACAACGATAACCGCTGCTTTTTGTATGGAGTCTGACAGATTTTTTACTTTTATCAGAGTTAAAGATGGTGCAAACCAGCCTAAAACTCAATTAATAAAGAATTTAGGGTTCAAAAACAAATACGTTCGTCGTAGGAATCTCAGCTAGATAAACGATTGAGCTCAAAGTGTAAGAGGCAAGATGTAGCGTTCCAGATGAAAGTGGCTTCCCGGATTTAAGCCAAACCGAGTTAAGTTTGCCAAATAGCGTCGCGCTGTCTCGGTACTCGATTAGTTTTAAGTACTTATTGAAAATGTTATTTATTCTTGTAGGTATTACAAGATTACAACGTCTTTTCAAAGCTTGAGAAACGGTGTATTATTTAATAATAGGTTCGTATTTCAGATCACTGATTTAATAACTTCTACGTCCACTGCTGGACAAAGGCCTCCTCCAAGGATTTTCATAACGACCGGTCCTGCGCCAGGCTCCAAGCTCTTCCCGCGACCTTCACCAGATCGTCGGTCCACCAAGTGGGAGGCCTGCCCACACCACGTCTTCCGGCCAGTGGTCACTACTCGAGAACTTTTCTGCCCCAACATCCATCGTCTCTACGTTTTGAATACAATGTTAAAATGTTCATTCCAAAACGTTTAAATAAAGTATTCGTTTTCTTTACAACGCAAGATGTTTTCGTAGTGATTATTGTTATAATTTTGTTTACACTTACGAGTTTCTTCTCGCTACATGGACATTGATACTATAATGCACTTTCACGGTTTCTTTAAGGTTATCCGTCTAAAGCAGTATGCTATAGTAACAGTGTGGTTCGCAACTAGAACTTCAGTCAGTAACAACTTCGAAGTGACTGAACTTCTTACTTTCGCGGTTTTAGCTTTAACGAAAGAAAAATGGTGGTTTGGCTTCGAATTCTTGTTCTAATGTTGATGTATTAGTCTGGTTTTGGTAATATTTAATCCGATAATAATTTCAGAAAACCAAATTATTACCACTTTTCCATAGATTAACTTCATCAACAGCCCTTTACAGTCCACTGCTGGACTATGAGCCTCCTCCACTATAGTGGAGGGTTTTGCCATAATCTCCACGCTTGGCAGGCGGGTTGGAGATCGCAGTTTAAAAGATTGATGTTTTTCAGAGAGCGCTGCTGCCCATTCTCTGTTTGATGTGTAGTCCCTAAGTCTAAGATTAACTTAATGTCTTTCAATGGTTGACTTTTATTCGTAGTTAAGTAATAAATCGCCTCGACCTCGCTTCTTGGGAGTTGATGTGGTAGAAAAAATACTCAGATTAGAACCTCGCTTTCAATATTGATCATGCAACCTCATTTTAATTTACGCTAGTGTAATTTAAAACAACATCAAAACATTTTTGTGACAATCACAACGAATTTGTTTGATCTTATACTTGTGAGTGTACTGTTTGAACAGTGTACAGTAACATAGCTTTAATTAATAGATTTCATTAAGAACAAACTGGATGCATTGAAACCAAGTACCTCTCAAGTTAATGGAGGCAAGATCGCTAAGATCTGCCAAAACACCAACAAGCGGCTTCCTGAAAGCGCTTTCTGGCTCGATTAGCACTAATTGTGCTGGAGTCGCAAAGCTGTTTGTCCCTTAGTGAAACTATTTTGACAGAATTATCTCAGTCGCTTGCAACACAATCACAGTTGGATAACAATGTCGTATTAAACTGTATTCCTAGTTAAGCAAACAAGATTGAAATCAATTTGAGTCAATGTTTTAGTGAATATTAAAAATGTTAATTGAACTGTTAGCGAAAATGCTTTTAATCTATATTTTATTGAAGATGGAGCTTCAAAATTGTCACGTATAGAAATCGTTAACATATTCGGATTGGAATTAAGCACGTTTTCTTTAGCATGCTTCTACAATCTACGTCGATGCTACATCGCAAATGATGCTACGCCGTAGATGCTATGCAGTGGATGCTACGCCATAGATGCTACGCCATAGATGCTACGATGTAGACGCCACACCGTAGAAGCTACGCTGTAGATGCTACGCTATAAATGCTATGCCGTAGCTGCTGCGCCTAGGATGCTATGCCGTAGACACTACGCCGTAGTTGCTACGCCGTAGATGCTACATCTAAAGGTTCGGCCAAACCAACGCGATCAACCGGCGTGCAGCGATGGCGATCAATGCATTTAGGTCTGGTCGCCATCGCTGCACGCCGGCTGATCGCGGTGTGATCGCGTTGGTTTGTCCGAACCCTAAGATGATATTGCTTGTGTCGTAGATGCTACGCCTATGATGATGTGTCTTAGATGCCACGCCGTAGATGCTACGCCGTAGATGCTACGCGTAGACGCTACGATATAGTTGAGTAATGTTCTCCAAAACTACTATGCCAAAATGTAACAAATGGGTTACTCATTGCAGCTGCTCTAGGGGTCTCATAAATATAAGACCTGATCTCTAAGGCATGGCAACATTCTTATTCCCTGTTACTTTAACTTCAACTGTAAGATTTGCTTTGTAAAACGAGCATGTGATTATGTATTCTAGCAAATATATTATTGAATTTGAATTTGACGTCCCTATTTTATGGGTGAATTAAGTTGATTTCAATTTATTTCATTTTTGTTGAGGTTTCTTTTATAAATAACTTTTTCAAATAGTAAAAGCGTGGATAATTCGCTTTTCAATAAATTCAATGTGCAATAATGAAAAACGTCACATCCAAATATTTTATTGTATTTTTATTTTACAATATTACTCGATTATCGGAAAACTGCGGGTATTGTTGGAAATTCTATAATAAGCTTTATTTATTTTGCAATTCAACATAATTGATAGTGTTTAATCACAAAAACTGTGATTAATGGTTCGATCACGTTATCGTAAATCTGAATAATAAAGCTATTTGTAAGAATAAAGCTGTATTTCTACTAGCATGCAATGTTGCGCCACTTTACGCTCCATGATCTATGTAACATCTGTTAGCTTTAGTCCCATCATGCTTGTTTTTTTTTCTGTTTTTATCTTTGAACATTTTGCGCTTATATACTCGTAGCTTACCTACATTGCGTATGCGTATAATGTAAGTTAATAATATACAGCCTTATGCCACCTAAACCTACTGTAATGGGTATGTAATCGTGGGAATATAAACGAATTATTTTAATTAATAAATCAGTCTTCGGTGTTATCATTCCTCTCCTTACGCACAACCTGTAAACTACAATAATCTATAATGTAAAATAAAGCTCGATTCCTTCTATCATACAAAATCGAAATACCAGTCACAGATTAATCACGAAACCTCAGAAACTATGACACCTACAATCTTAAAATTAGGCAGGTAGGTTCTGAATAGGGTGTAGACATCCGCTAAGAACGCATTAAACGACACTCCACCCCTAAAGGAGTAAAACTGGTTTAAACTATTTTTTCCGAAACATTTCGATATCATAAAAGTTAATAGATTCAATTTTTATGTTACGAAACTACCTAGTAAGGTTTTCGTGTAATGACCGTTAATATGCCTTAACTACGCCCCTTTAATAGCAGATAAACTGTTTTGATGGATTCAGAAATATAATACGAGTACCTTCTTGTAGGCGGATGAAGAACTAGTCCGCCATTAAAAGAAATATGTATATTGTAGAGTCATAGGTTATTTAAGTAACTGGAACTCTATTCTGGTTTTGATAGTGAAAAAACGATGATTGGAACTCATGTTAGAAATAATTATGATAAAAGAAATCAATTATACAAGTTATTAAACTTCAATTTGTTTTTCTAAACTCCCATAGTTAATCCACGCGTATTATTCAACAGACCTCGATTTTTTAAAGTTACGTTTACAAATATTTCTAAATTCAGAAAATTTAAATAACAGTTTATATTCTTGCCTCAACAGCCATGATGATATAAACCTGTAATAAACTTGCCATCGCATTTCATAAGACAGAAACCGCGTTGAATGTAAATGTCTTCAGTTTAACATTCCTGAAAAACACCGTCTTTTCCGATGCGACACGCTTTTGCATAATATCTCGACCTTCACGCTTGATACTCATTTGTTTTCTTTCGCTATTTAACATAAAAAAGTGTTTTTAAGCCGTGAAATCCAATTAGATTTTATCATTCATCATCTCACCCACCCGGTGGAATTTCGTTTGATAATCTCGAGTATTTGATTGCACAGATTCCAAACGATTGCCTTTCCCATTCACATTAACCTTTGAAGTAATTACTGGTTATTTATTTGACGGCAAGCAAACGTTCGGAAAGCCGTGCGTGCGATACGAGTATGATTAATTAACCGTATCGCGTACGTCCCTAATCCAGGCCCAGAGCTGCTCATTCGTACAAATTGTTACGGGACCCTGTTACTATGCTAATTTTATCGCAGAAAACACCGCGACTTACCGGCAGCGTTGCGATTGCACTGCAACTACGATGGATTCTCGATACCAACTCACTCAACTTTGTACGGTTGCACTATATCACAAGTCACGGGTGGTCACTTCAGGTCATTCCATCGCACGCATGTGCGTTTCGGGCACTCGATCACTGACACTATGGTGGGTCACCAGTCCTTTTTTTGGGGGTGGCGACCGTGACAGGCGCTCGCAGGCTCGCCGCAGCCTCAACTGGCTGGGGAGACGCCAACGCGCGTGTCCCTAGCACCCGCCCCGCGCCCCGCTCACCTCGCGGTACGGCCAAATAGAAATAAAGTATGCGCTGTAAGGACAGAAAGTGGAAGAAAAAACGGATCTAGATGCCTGCAAGGCAAGTTAGTTAGATACGGATGCTTCAAAGACGTACAACGGCTCTTTTGATGAAGTTACGCAGTTCAATCGGCGTTCGGGATAGATTGTCGATATTTGCTTGATTGGGTGCGGAGTTTCTCTATCGGGCGGAAATAATAGTGCAGTTTTGTTTTTTCTCTTATCGACGGCTGTTTGGAGTGGGGAAACTAATAGAGCGAGTGAAGGGTTGACGATTATATTAAACAGCTATGTAGAGCTTAGGTGCTGGAGCTTTGTTCGGATTAAACAGGTCACGGGACTGACCGACACATTATGAAAAACTTTGCACTAGGAAATATTGACTTTGTATTATAATATTTTTATAAAATCATTGACATTTAAGTTATTGTAAGAAAATTAATTTAGAAGAACGTGTATGTAAAAAATAACTCTCTAAGAATAAAAAGGATTCAATACACTTATTTTCTGGAAACAGACGCATTCACTCAACTAACTAGTACTTGAAATCTCAAAAATAGTACCCAAAATGGTTTTATTTACGTACCGTAATTAAAGATTTTATATTATTTTTACGTCTCTGTACGATATCATTGTATTGCAATAGTACCCACTTAAAAATGAAAACAAGAAACACAGTACCAAAACAAGCAATATTTTCTGTTTATATTTACGAGAATATAGTAATGTTTTCATAGCATTTCGCTCTCAACAACCACAAAGTATTTCTCAACTCTTACTCTTTATTTCCATCACATTTTTCCTCTCAATTAAAAGTTATTGAGAAAATTCTTGGCCGCATCTGAAGTCTGAGCCGCTGTGGAGAAATAGCGAACCATGTTCGATATTAACTTATTTCAATGTTGGTTTCAACATCAGCAAAATAGAGTAACAGAATTTAATACTTGTATTTTTATTCTATCAAATTTGTTATTTTAAACTCTTTATAAAAAAATACGTTTTCGTAGTTATAGGATTAGAGAGTCAGACTCTGTTTAGAGGTCCTAGGTTCGATCTCCAGAAGGACACTAAAATATTTTTGGCTTATTTTGCAAGTTTTGTTTGTTATTTTTGAACCAACGTGATAGACTGTAAGTTACGTAATCCCGTTATTTGGAAAAGTAAAATCGTCAATCATGAACTATTAATTACTTGAGTCATAATACGTTTATATAACAGGTCATAGACCCTCTTTAAGTTGGGTATAAAAAGCCCTTTTTCACTTTTCATTGCCAATAATAATAATCAAAGTAAGCAGTTAATAAGAGAATAGCGTGCACAAAACGAAACAAAGTCGTTACGTATTCATGGGATCACTTAGTTTCATATTAGCGGGCGTATTGATCCAGCGATTGCTCTAGTAATTTTAGTCAGAGATTTTGTAATAAACCTGAAACTATTTAGCATTAACCTTGAGACCACAATGTTACATAGTAAACAAAAGCAGTAAGTCTTATTTACTCGCCCGACACGATCTGCTTGATGCTCTGCTTAATAAACGAATACATTATTAAACTAAAGACTTTTTATTCTATTTGTGGAGGACAGAGGTGAAACTACTGCTAACACTGTCCCAAATATTAATAGGCCTAGTTAAACACCCAGTGAAATAATGGAACGATATTTTGAGGCACAAAAATTTTTTGCCAACTTGAATTTCTAGTTCTTTATTCAAGAGAATCTCAACAAATTCCATCTCTAAGATTGCTTATTTTTTTACTTTGTTTCAATAACTTTTTCAAAAAACTTATTCATTTTACCAGTATGGAGAAAAAATGTTCGTAGATAGTAAACCTCATGGAGTCTCTTTAAAGTTCAAAATACGGTGTACCGACAAGTAAATGGTTAGTTTAGTCTGTAAAATAATATGAACTTATCATACCTCTTCGACTGTTACGTTGACTGTGGCTATTTGTGATCAAACTTAGGTAGTACTAGGATTTTTATTGCTTTAAGTTACTGTGTAATCTGATAACATAACTGTTTGGGTTCATATTTTTTTGTTTGTTGAAAGAAATGTGCCATGACTTGATTAATCTGATTTTGTGAACTGATAGCTTTTATTAAGTTCATTTACCTACAAAGTTAAGTGATTGTGTCCATTAAATCAATTATATTTATAATAATAATGTATGAACATGTAATTCAAATGACTAATGGCTGTTTAATTCGTCAGTTTATTTTTTTAATAACTTGAGAAGAAAGTCTGTCTGTCTGTCTCTTTTTCACGCCTAAACCACTGAACCGATTTTGATGAAATTTGGCATAGATATAGTTTGAGTCCCTATTTTCTGTGACAGACAAAATTCCACGCGGGCGAAGCCGCGGGCAGAAAGCTAGTTCATTAAGAAATAGTTCAGTAACGTTGATTAACGTTATTTAACAAAATACAAAAAAACCCCGAGTTACTCTTGTAACGGTGCGCGCGCACTGGTGACCCTTGTCTCCGTAACTGTTTCGTCACTCATACCAAGTCCATAGAGATATATGGAGGTGCGCGCACGTCGCTATAGATGACCTAAACTGAACTGTCCCACCAAACTCATTGACAGAAGGGCGCCACCATCATTCAACTGTATAGTTTCCAACATGGCAAAAATCGGAATCAACCATCCGGTATTGACTGTGGCGCCTTGCTGTCAATGTCATAGGTAGGACAGTTCAGTATATTGGGTCTATACGCAACAGTGACAGAAACTTTTTGTCACCTCCATACATCATACTAGTGACGAAACAGTCACGGAGACAAAAGTCACCCGTTCACTCGCTCTCTAAATATAGAGACCAATAACGTGTGCTAGCTACATAATCCTTAAGAGAATTCTACCAAGAGGCACAGATATTCACCTGCGGATCCCGAACAATAGATTTCCAGCCACAGTAACCTCCACTCACCGCTAAGGAAGCTCATCCAGCCGATTCTTTGCTCAAAGATCTATCTCCGAAATCGGTTTAACACTGGCCCCGTCGTGGGCTCAATTCCAATAAAGCATTCTAGTTGACCTATTTACTTGCGTCATGTTAAAATGGATAAAAAGATCGCGTTTTATAAGATTTCAATAGAGATTATACGAAGCAACTGTTGAGTAAAAAATGAATGATTCGAATTCGTTTTTTGTATTGTAATAAAATTAAAAAGCGTTTTTACACGTTCTAACATTATTTTAACCCTACCACTGCTTCCGGACAATAAATGAGCTACTGAGAAGTAGCAGCGCAAGAGACACATGGCCGTTTTCACCATCAGTCCCTCATTTTTAAGTGACCCCTATGATAACATATAACAGGAATTTTGTTTTCAAAGAGTTTACTTAAAAATTAGGGATTGATGATGAAAACGGGCATCAGACACCTTTTTCATCTTCTGTTTCCATGGTTTACATAAACATAGCCTTATAATAAATACCTATTACTGACGCGAGCTAGGCAGTTACAACATTTTAAACATTTTTATCTTTTATAGCTTTCCGCCCGCGGCTTCGCCCGCGTCGAATTTTGTCTGTCACAGAAAAACAATATCGCGCACGTATTTGCTCACCGTTTAGACCCACCCTGGACTACGACAAACATTTTAAAACCGAAATCAGCTCAATCGGCCCAGCCGTTCTCGAGTTTTAATCAGACTATCGAACATCAATTCATTTTTATTTATATAGATAGATAGATAATCTTCAATTTTGTGGTTGTTTAGGTATTGAAAAGTTCATGTTACATATTCCCCATAAATTAATTACCAATCTTATACAGTCTGAAAGTTTTTTTTTTGTTTTTATATTTATTTGTAATAGGTATACAAACAGTTTACAGTCTAGGCTTCATCGTAAAGAAAAAGTGTTAATAAATTATGTTTTGATGGATTATTGCAACGATTAGATACGGTTAAAGAATATAACATAGTTGCGATTAAAATAATGTGATTTAGCATGTTTGCGAGCGTCAGCGTTAAGCCCTCACTAATTACTTGGTTCAAACGGCGCACACGCCCTGCGGTCGGCCGGCAAGAACCATTCGGCGGCATTTAACTGAACATTGGACGTTACTATCCGTGCGAGAATATTACGCTGCTGAGTGCTGATGCTGTTGCGTCGTATATTGCAATCTTGTTACGTATTTAACGGCCAGTTTGATTCCATTTGTGCTAATGGATTGAGTTTTCAGAAAGCAGAATGGTTGAATCATCTTTTAGTTACAGTTGAATATGATGAACGCTACCAATTATGTGGTAAAGTGACACTATTAACCAATAAGTTCAAAATATTACTTGTAAGATTATTATTTTGCTGTCAAACTGAATTTGTATTTGCTGTAAAATCAATATTGAATGTCATAGGCTACATTTATACTTAAAACACTTCTATAACTTACAAACCGCACTGCATACAACTTTTAGTCCTCAACTAAGCAGCGACTAGGTTACGGTTAAATAAATAACAAGCAAAAGTTAAAATACTTGTGGGCGTCACAAGCAGGTGCACCTCGCGGGAATTCAATCCGAAACAGTGATTGTAGTTAAGACTTTTAACCGATAAACAACTTGGACATCGGGTGGCAGCCTTAGACAAGTGTGGTTGTAAGTTTTAAACAGCTATATTTAGGTTTTTTGAGAAAGAAACGGGTATTATTTAGTTAAAACTAGTGTCAAGTTAAATAGTAGTGTTTAAGTATATTGATAAACACTAAATCGATCTAGTAGGAGTTTCATATTTTAGAAGGTACAGGGTGACAGGGATTCCTATGGGTGATATAACGTCCTATTCCTTGAAAGAGATTATACTAGAGGTCATTAGCAACAAATTAAATCCCGTGAACCAAGGGGCAAAACTAGATGGTTACTAAGTTGTTCGATTTTTAGAAATTTCTGACTTGTT